TTAAATAATGTCTACAGTATCTCCAGCCTTGTTTGTTTATGTTTTTATGATCCCTATTTGCATGTTTTTAAATTCCCAATTTTTTATTTATCTATTTATGCTAAATAATATTTTATTTTATATTATTATCATTGCAGTGTTTGTTAGAAACAATAATTGAAATTATTACTTAAACTACAATAAATGTTTTGTATCAAATATTTATGTTTGGAGGCATCCTTTAGCAAAACTGATGTGACTTGTCTTTAAATGTATTATTTAACTGATGTTTATTTGTCCAAAAGTATTAACCGTTTATCACCAGAATGATCAGTAGTAATCACCAGAAGAAAAAAATTAAAAGTACTCAGTGTTTCAGTGACCACCAGTTATAATTTTCATTGGCCTTGCTGTTTAAAATTGACGTTCTTGAACTCATAAGCTTAAGAGTTAGCATTTAATTTTTTAATTCATGATAAACAGAATTTCTGTTTGTAAATTTACAAGCTTGATGCTGTATAATTGAATTAAGAAATACGCTATGAAAAGAGTAATTTAAAAATACTCAATGTTTTATTGATCACCAGTTTTCATTTTCAAAGAACTTCTTACTGTGAACTCGAAACTCAAAGCACAATATTCACAAAAACTAATCTCAAGGTTGTATAAAATAACTTTGATTTTTCTTTTATTGTTGGTAAGTCTTTAAATTAGTGACAAAAATCCTTGAAACGTTGGAAAGTTAATTTACATAGTATTTTTTATATATTTTATTAACAAACTTTACTAAATACATAATTATATTGTATTGATTGATATTACTAAATAGACTGTGTTCTCATAGGGCTCTGTTAAAGTGGGAGAACTGTGGAAGAAGTCTGGTCTTCAGTGGACTGAGTTTCTGTCATCTGGACAAAATGTTGACAAGTTTGTGGAAGAAAATGTATGCAAAATGAAATATGAAACCAAAGTGATCAGTTGCTGAGCATCAAAAACACTTTAATCGTTTCTGATTTGCTCTAAATCATGGAATTTGTAGTATTATATAACACATTTATAACAGTAATATCTACTTGAACACCCAAGGTTTACTAAAGTTTCCAATCTCTCATAATAAAAACATAAACTTAGGTATGTTCTGCATCTCAAGCACTCACACAGAGCTCATATGGATTCGGGTAATCCAATAATGGTTCCCAGTCTATTAATTCTTGTTGAAAATATATTTTTTACCTCTGGTGTGTCTCCTTGGAAAGAATGAATAATTTGAAATTTTTGTAATAAACTTTTCTTCCCTAGGGTTGGGAACTTAAGTGTTAGATAAATTAAATGAATACTTAAGGGTTAAAAAAGTGTGTATAATTAATTATGTCAAACTTGTCCAAAACTTAATAAAAATAAGATAGAAAAGTAGTAAGATGGAAATTTCTAGAAATTATCACTCTTTTCTTCTAAGTGCACACAGCAAACTGCACTTATTATTATATACAAAGTTCCCACAATGAAGTTTAACAGTTTTCAATTTTTATAATTTGTATTCAATGCATAAAGTTTGATGCTTAGTTTTATCTTCTTGTCCCAGAAATTAGAGTTTACCGTCAGCGAAACAAAACCCCTTCCTGATGCTCATCTTTCTATGGAACAAATCAAGGAAAAACTAGACTTTTTATTACAAAAGAAGAAATCTACCAATGAGGATATTTTAGATTGGATTGAGGTAAAAATATTTTAATTTCTTTTGTTTCAGTTACTTTTATGTTTATTGTATTAGTGGCTTGCAGATCTATAAAATGTGAGATATTTTAATCGACAAAGTTATAAATACATAGTGTTTATTTAACTGTTTTCTTACACAGGTACTAATAGATATTTTTAGATGACCAGGCATGGTGTAATGGTCAACATATGAGGCTGAGGATCATAAGTTCAAAGGCCAAGTTTCAAGTTTTGATATGCTATAGAAGATGCTTTGTGAAAGTGTAATAACTGTAAGAGCCGATTCCACTATTTGATTACCAGTAGCCATGGGACATAACATGGATTGGTGGTTAGGGCAAACAGCTTGTAAGCTGCAGGTCAAGAGATCAAAACCAATTACCAAACATATTTGCACTTTCAGCCATGGGGGCATTATAATGTGATGGTCAACCCAACTATGCATCTATATAAAAAATACACTTGTGTTTTGTCTGTCTGAAACGTTTCTGACATGTTTCTTGATCAAATGCTACAAATCTCATATTGTTAGAAAGGCTTTTGTCCAATAAGTCCAGATTGCATATTGGCTTTTTTAAGTTCAGGATCACCTTACCTGTTTTTTTTTTGGCTTAGTCAAACTTTTCAATGCAATGAGTATGGTACACAATGTTGTTGTCATCATGTGATGACTGGCTTCGAGTTCAACTTAAAAAAATTTATTTGCAAAGTATTTCACAAAAACAACAGTAAACTCGCATGTAATTTCCTAAGAAAAAAATTTACATTACACTAATCACAATTTCAATGGACTTTCTTGACTTATTTAGGTCTAAAATTTGCATGTGCAGTTCGTTCGAAACCATATGCTTATCACTTTGTGAACATTCAGTCGTTTCTACATATTCAGCTGTTTGCCTCCATTACAAATTTACGTTTACTTTGCAATAATTTAGCTTCGGTTCGTTTCATAATCTGCTATGAACACCTTTTAGCGAAATTTTGTCTTTACTTCAGGTTATTTCAACTCATAAAACCGTGTCATACACTGAACTGTTTCATACTCTAACAATATTATATATACCATAACTTTATTGTTTACTTTATATGTGATTTTATTTAATAAAGTTATGTCTATGTAAGTTTGACCATGTACAGTTTTTTAAGTAGACCAGGATTTAGCAATGTAACATATAATACCTCCAAGAAAGTGTGCCTTAACTCTTCAGAACGGGCTCGTAGCCCTTTTGTGCTTGTTATAGTTTTCATGGTATAACTTTTAAATTAGTAAGCGAATGTTAACGAAATGTGGCAGTTTATCAGTAAACACTACGATGCTTTCGTATACAAAATATCAAATTTTTTATTAAGTCTTAAGGTTTGTAAAGCAGTGTTTTTCTCATGTTTTTTTGCATATTGCCTCTCTAACATGCAAATTAATTTTCATTTTAAGGTTAAAAATACTTTTATGCATCAGAAACTTTTCAAATTTCAAATGCAAAATCTTTATAATGTCCAGATAGTTATCAAACGTTTCTTAAGAAAAAATTTCATAATTCATCTGTTATTTTTAGTAATGAAAAAAATTAGGAAATGAATATAAGTTAGGCCTCTTTCATTCTAGAATGAACACAAATTGTAATATGAAAACATAAATCTTTGGACTATATTATTATTTTTATTATATTGACCTTTCATCCATGCCTGGCTAATAATACAGAAGTTACAATGACGTGGCACACATGAACTCGTTACCGTATCTAATAACATAACACTGACCTTTGGTCTGAACAATGTAACTTGTCTAGGCTGTTTTAGTAGACTAGTATTTTGTAAAATACAGTCACATTTCAATTATTATACATTATATATGTATATAGATTATTGCTATTTTGAAATAAGTTCTTAAACTTAAAATCATAGAACAGTAAATAAAGAAGTAAAGCAAACAATTATCTCTTCTAGTTAGACCTTTGTACTCGGTTGTTGCTTGACATAGGTTGCTAAGCCTTTAAAAATTTTGCATATGAAGGATATAAAACAAACTAATTTTTTGGGGGTTTTATATATATATAAATAACTAAAATATATATACATTTGAATAACTAAAAAAGTATAAATTACCATATCAATACCATAGAATTCCACTAAAATTTATAAAGCTTAGTAACTAAGATGTATTTTAGTCTAAAAAAATATGAAATTTCGAACAGACTAAAGACATAACCTACCTCATTGAAATATTGGTTCAAAAGAAAGAAATGGTGTCCAAGCCTGTTAAAATAGCTGAGAAAGCCACTAGGGGGACATTCTGAGCTTCTGATTGGTTTTTCATGTTATATATAGAAGTAAGTGTATATAAGGGAGCATTTCCAAAAATGGAAAGAGGTGGGCGGGGTGTCGCTGTGTTGGATTTATTACATGAGCAATATCTTAGCAAATAGAAAAGACCTTATTTTATATGCTAGCTTGCCGATATCGGTAATTTGAGTTTCTAATTTGTACGATACTATAGACTTAGTATTTGGACTTTACAAACATCTAATTTGAACCAGCGCTGCATTCAACATACCACATGACACACAAAAACTTATGTTTATCTGTGTCTTTTTAGTATTTACTTTTAAATTAAGTAATTTTTAGTACTAAAATTTTAATTATAATCTACAGTTTGATACCAAACTTATTGACATAAATTCATGAAACAGTAGTTCAATAAAATAGTGAATGTGAGTCAACAAATGAGATGACATGGCCTTTCACCCGTGACCCGTCTCGAAAGGGTTAGGCAATTATTGATCAAAACCGTAGAAATAATAATCTGTAATTTATTAAAATCATAAACTGTATACAATATGTATAATACAAAACCTTTGATACTAAACTTTTACATAGTAATAAACATTGAAAAAAAAAAGATTCAAGTTATTGCTGTTATCAGAAAAATTATATATCATTAAAAATTAAATAGCTAGGTAATTTTTTTTATGTTGTTAGTTAAACCTCTCCTTACAAAAATGTTTTTACTGAAATATTAGAAAACTCTGTACTGTTAACAAATTGTGTATTTTCAAACATTAAAAACACTAATCGTTCCTATGTTAAAATGTTATTACAATTTAATCTGGAGCTATTCCTGAAGAAAAGCTCTGAAAATTTAAAATGATTTTAAATTTTTTCAATGGCATGTGACCATGTATTATGACCAGCTTTGGAAATCCAAATCTATTTTAAAAGCAGTTCTCTGTTTCATTACTATTACATTAGATTATCATATTTACATATATAGTAGAATGTCAAACTTGCACACAAAGATTTACATATACCTTGGCTCCACCTTGTTGAACAACAGTTCCTCGTAGCTCTTTTTGTTCACACATGGCATTGAACACTCTGTTGTGAAACAGAAATAATAAAATATAATGTTCAAAATTTCATGCTAATAAAATAATGACAATATATGTATTTAAAGAAAACACAATCTTATTACAAAAGAGTTAACTTTCCACAACATGTTTTGAATTACAGGTGGCAATTGCTATCTTAAAATATAAACATGGTAAAGTAGGGATGAAAACAGTTTCATTTACTGAAAAAAATAATAGTATCAGATGTTACTAAAAACCATAATACAGAGGGTTAACCACAGTTTATTAAAAGCAAATTGCATATGGTTTCATCAAAGATATGAGCCATGGGTAACATGTTTAGCACCTATGTATTTAGTTAACAAGAAATTTCTAGCCATTCTACAGTGAAATGCCACCAAAAGTAGACTTACACCTGGATGATTAATGCCACAACCTTTTTTTTTGTAGTTAAGATTTTTATATGATACACAGATAAAGAACAAAGCATTTTGAAGTGAGCCTCCAATCTTAACAATGGAAACAAAATACTCAAACAGCAAACGTTTGTTAACAAGACTGAAAATGCCTGATGAAATATTAGAATTTAAAATTAATGTAACTATTGTCAGTGTATATTCATAAACAGAGAAGAGGCATGACAAAATTAAAATTCTAGGTTACATTACAAAAAACTGATGTTTCCTTTCATCTACTGATGAAAACAAAACTTTTATCCACAGAAGACCTTTTTAACTATAATTTACTCAAGAACATAAACACTTATTTTAACATTCTATATATTAACATAATTGCTAAAATTCTCTAGCCATTAAAATGTAACCTAATTATTTATATGTTTAGATATTCAACTGGTAAATAAATTCATAAACTGTTTTGAAAGTTTTTTGGGTTCAATGACCAATCATTATCTTTCAAACTTAAAATTTGGCTTTTATTCTTCATGTGGAATAAACCACTGGAAGTTTAAGCCTATTACAGACATGGTTATGTACAAAGTCTAAATGTAGAATTGTCATGTCACAATTCATCCATTCATAATTTTAACTTACAGAAAAAAAGTATACACATAAATAAAACAGAACTTAGAAGAGAGTGAACACAGAACAATTAATCTGTTTTATGTATTTTAAATTAAAATAAAACAATATACCTGGCAATAAGCTCTCTGCTGCTTTTACTTTCCGTTTTTGAAAGAGCTACTAAAGCACTGGTGATACCTGACTCTACAAGGACCTTTACACGTTTATCCACAAATTCCTTGGAATCCTGTATAACAGATACATATTAAATAATATTACAAAAAGTTATATTCAAAGGAGACTTTTGCATGTTCACAGTTGTCATGGATAGTTTTCAATAAATAAAAAGAGTACTGCTATTTGTTTTAATTATTCACAAAAACAGCCTCATTAAAAGTGAAAAATATAAAACATAAACTTGCAAAGTATCAACTTGTAATTTATAAAATTAGCTTTAACCCTCTTGCTAAAAAAAGCACATCATGATGTTTGAGTTATTTTCAAAATTTAATTATACTTTATCATTTTGTGTGAATTGTCATCACATTGCAGTTTGTAATTTAATTTGTCATATTATATGTGTTTTAATTTCTTAATTCAAAAGCAAATGTTAAAAAAAAGCTATATATGCTTTCTTGTATGTCATGTGTTTTTGTCTTATTGCTCAGTTTATTATGCCTACCATATAATGTCTATAGTGGTTAACAAATTAGAAACTTACAAGCTAGGATTTAAAATATGAACCTCCCACCTTTTTTTGTTTATTGAGAGATATCAATATATTTTGCAACCCCCCCCACTAATACATTCTTTTGAAACTTGTCTAATCACATCTACTCTCTTAAATATATATAAGAACATATTCCAAACCAGGTAAACATGACAGTGGTTTGTAACTGGCTTGAAGAGGAAACTTGTAATTTGACTGGGTAATTTGAAGTCTGTTGACTAACTTGTTGCTCTGAACAGAAATGAGATTTTCTCAACCCACATATAGCTTAGTTAGAAAGCCAGATAAATTACAGTGGTTTTATGTGTACCAGTATAACCATTTTATAATTTTTTGGTTTTCTAAAATGCATCTTTGAGATCTACAAACATTAATTTGTTTCCTCTTCCACTTGAGAGACTAAATGAGGCTTACGGTGAGGCTTAGCAAGTATGTTATGCGAGTACAAGTAGAATTTGTAAAATCATGTGTGTTAAGTGCTTTCATATGATTGTGTACATATATTATTACTACTTACTCATAAATGCTTAATTTTTAGTTATTTTTCTTAAAACATACAACAATAGAACAAACATAGAAAAATATATAAAAAACAATGATTTCTTTTGTACACCTCTAAAATCCAACCACCCCAGAAGGATAACTAACATCCAAATATCAGCCCAGACTTTGTACATAAACATTTTCTTGCCCTTTTATTACTTTAGACAAGTCTAATTGCAACCACTGTATTATAAACAAACTAATATATCCTCTCTCACAGTGTTCTTGGAGCTAGGATTATGATAAACTCTGTGGGAAAGTTCTGGTAATTGTGCAGCATGAGCTTCTTTGCTATTGATGGTGTAACATAGATAGTTTAATAGCAGAAGCAGATTGTGAAAAGGTTAGAAGTAGAAAATCTCAGGGAAAGAACTTTAGAAATTTGTGGTCAATACTTAAAAGGATAGAACAGTACTACTTACTTCTTTTCATATTTTTCAACCTTTAAAGTTTTATGGTGATTACAAAGTCAATCATATTGACCAACCCAATACATGGTTAGGATAGAGAAATTAACAAATAAATTATAAACACTTTCCGAAAAACAAAACCATTTGATATTTATTTATGAGGTCTTAAAGATTACACCAATAAAATTTGAAAATTACCAGATGAAGAAAAGTATTATTAGTCTTAACATGAAAATCACTTTGCACTTGGAGCAGTCAACATGCTGTCAAAGTTTAATTTAAAATTCTGATTTTTTGTCCACAAAGATACTTGTAATGTTTATCAAAAGCTTAAAAAAATTTGTGAACATAGAAAACAAGTTAAAAGTTGATAAAAGTTATAGTACGGAAACTCTGAGGGTCAATTTGGAGTCATATGGTTGGTGTAATCCACTAAGGCAGTAGTGGAAGAGTTAACCTACTTTCAATGCTTAAACTAATTTTTTGCATATCTTTATAAACAAAACTACAAAAAATACACTGTTAATGAGAATTGGGAACAAAAGAGTTATCTACAGTGTAAAGAGGTTGGGTACAATATATTAAAATGTTTTTGGATTTATCAAAATAATCCTAAGTCACCAGATTTTAGTATGTTGAACATCTTAGCCTCAGTACTAAAAGATGCTAAGCTGGCTCATGCTAAGCTAAAAAATAATAAATCTTTGATTAAAAGTCAGAGTAACAGAATATAATGTAAGTGGTGAGATCAAAACTGGAAATTCTCTACTCAAGTGATTCATGTTTCTTATTTTAATGTAAAACTAGTTTTTTAATTAACCAAGACTATGATTGAAGTACCAGGCAGGAGCTATGAAGCCTTTGTACCCTTTGCTGTTGGAAAATTGTTATCACACCCATGCTGCTTCAATACACTGCATCTGACCATGTTCAGAAGCTATGAAAAGTAAACAGTACTAGCACCAGATAATTGTTATGTTACAATTACACTTAGTTTTTTTGTATTATATTACAGTTAAACCTTATCCATAAATAAAAAATACACAAATATTGCAGGTAACATTAGCCTAAAAGACATTGTTATAATATTTAATATCAGCCAGCAAAAATGCAATGGTTAAACTATAAGATGGAATGTGATATGTATATCTTGAGTTTATAACTTATTATGAAGTATATTATATTAACCCATTTCCATAATAATTACTGTAATAGAACATTTATTAGTTTTCCTTGATAAGAAATATATTTTTTTCTCAATGTTGGATCACACAGCAAAACCAAAACAAACCAGGATTAACTTTCAACTTTATTTAACAGGTTATAACAAAATGTAAACAAAGAAAATGCTTAAAATTCATTATTAAAAATAAGTGTTTTTTCAAGATTGTAATATTGTTGTTATTTTCACTTACAAATTGAAATCTAGATTTTAGCATTGCACTGGGATCTGGTATCAACAAAATTTTAGAATATGAAGTCACATTTGAAGTTTACAATAATTTGTTGACACTTGTAAAGAACTCACTTTGAAGTAACAACTTGCAGTTTTATTATGATATTAAATAAAATAATATTTAAAATTGTATAGTCTTTTATTGCTGCTACTATATTAACTCTTATGTAAACAATAAAACTATATTTCAATAATAATTCATCTAGCCTTACTTTAAAAATTTCAAAGCTCAAACCTGAAGAGCAAACAAATGCTTAGATAATAAATGCTTATTCTGAGTTTAATTCTGCATTTATTGCTAGTGGTTCGGTTTGTTTGTTTGTGAATTTTTACATAAAGCTACTTGAAGGCTATCTGTCAAAACTGTCCCTAATTTTTGAATTGAAAGACTAGATGGAAGGTAGCTAGCAACATCACCCACTGCTAACTCTTGGGTTATTTGTTTACTCTTTACCACCAAATATTGTGATTGACTGTCACATTATAATAACCCCAAGTTAAAAGGATGAACATGTTTGAGACCTATGTCTGTACATTGACTACAGTTAATTCAGACAGGAAGAATGATTTCTTTGAGTGGTCGCTTATCTTTATTATTCTACTTTTGCTATGAAACAATGTATAATCAGTCAAATGCACCTTTACTTCAATAAATAATGCACAAATAAGTGTTTTGATACTTAAGCGCATGCTAAGAAACCATGTTAGTAAAAAAAATGTAATGTTAATTTAGCCTGAAGAAATTTGGAAAAATATGTATTAAAAAATATTTTCACAATATTAATCATTGCCACATTATTAACTTATGGTGTAAAGTAATGGCTGTACTAATGTATGACACACGAAATGTTTCTTGTTGTCAGAAATTTATAAACAATTAGCATTGTAATTTACAATGACCATCTTAGTGTGTAGGAATGGGCCAAGAAAAAGTCACTATCACATTCAATCTATTACTTTGTGATGCTTAAAAATAACAGCTAAAGTTGAGTTATAGCCTTATTTGCCAATATCAAGTATTTTACAGCTTGTGAGACTCCCAGTATCATTGAAAAGTGTTTCTAAAGTGGAGAAATGGGAACTAACTAAAACCCAAAGTGTTCATCTTTCTATTTTCTTTTCTGACACTAGCCAAAAAATGTGTAAAGTTTTTCAGTGGCCCTAGTTCAATAGAATACCCCTTGAAGTTAGCTTTCTCACAAATATCCAGTGTTCCTTTGAAAAGCTTAAATACAGGATGAAACAGGAATTACCAGCCAATAATAGATGAACATTAGAGGACTGTAACATGTAGAATACTGAATGCTTTGTACACTTATAAAACAGTGTCATTAGGGAGTCAACCCCTATATTATGTAAAGGAGTAAAAGAAAATTAATACACATAATCTTAAATTTTATTACACATACTCACAAAGCATATTAATTTTCAGTCAGGGGAAAAAACAAGTAATAAAAAAACATGTTGTAAATGTAAAATGATGTAGGGATATCGGTGCCTAAAAGAATGCAAACATGAATATAGGGATGATACAGCTATACATTTTTCATATGTTCTTTCCTTACTGTAGATTCCTCAACATTAAGTCCCACAAAGTCAAACTTAAGATCACTGATGATTAATAATCTATTGTAGCCAATTGTATGATATTAATATCATTATCTGAGGTTATTCTACAAGTGCAATGAAGAAACTGACAAAACTGATATGATATCAACAATATATATATATATATTAGTATTGAATTATAAAAATAAATCAAATGTACACTTATCAACCTACCTCAAAGAAATTGGTTAAAAAAGAAAAAAAAAGAGGGGAAGTACTAAAAAAGAGATGGCAATGCAAAAACATACAGAAACAAGTTAGGGATGAATACACAAAACCATGCAAAAACCACTACATAAGTAGTCAAATCTTTTCAAGAATAACTTTTATCTACAACTAAATGTTGAATTCCTGTCAGTTGTATGATTTCAGGTTTGAATAAAAGCATTTAAGCTAAATAATGCTATACAATGTTACAGTGGCTAATAACCATATGCTTCTAAGATTGACTCAGTACTTACTGGCTACTTTTGTTTTGTACATGTAGTACAATGTCTTAGTCACCTGCATCTTTGTTATATCATTGATCTGATTATAAGATGAATATATTGACCATTTAGCAATATCCTCAAGTCAATAAACTTATGTTCTATCACATAAAAGTAACCAATCTTTATTTTCAGTTCTGCCATTTGTTATTTTCATAAGATATTTCCTGAAGTCCATATGAAGGTATGATTAACAAACTAGTAAACAAATATGAGTACAGGTAAATAAAAGTAAAAATTAAAACTTAGTGAATGATAGAGATAAACAACTCCCAATATTTGAAAACATGTAAAAAGTCTATATGGGGACTGAGATCAAATGAGCCATCTTTTCTCAAATTTTATCAGTATCACAGCTTTTTTGATAATTGCTAAATTACAGTAACTTTATACAAAATATAAATTTATGTGTCATATCTAGCTTCACCTAATTACCTTGAAACACTTACTTTGGAATGGTCTTCTGGGACATGTTGCTTCGCAAACTTTGCTAATTCAATCATTTCTGGGATCATTTCTTGTTTCTCATAGCTGTTGGTTAAGTTTACAAGAGTTGTCACCACTCCATAAAGAACCGAAAGATCCCCAGTCTACAAGTGCATGAATCAAGTATTAATTTATTTTGTCAGTTAAATACATACATATAAAGAGGTGGTAAGTATATTTCTTCAGAAGACTACATTTTAATGAAATTCAGGCTAAAGAAGATAAAAAATCATAACACCATTATAAAATAATTCTATTAGGTTATACATCTTATTGAGGTTCGCATATCAAATATCAAAATGCAAAAAACATTATATGCAAAAGCACTAATGGCTAAAATGTGTTTTTTTTTGTCAGAAGACTACCAGCCATACACAACATATGACAATTCAGTAAAATAGCATAAATTATTCAATCTGTTGCATAAACAACTGATATTGGGTGTGTTTATATTGCTTAATGGATTTTATATTTATTTATGTTGGTGTATTTAATTTTATAGCATGGCAATTATGGTTATAAAACCAAGCATAACTCAAAAGCAGAATTTTCTTGGATATTAAACTTGGTTATTAATTTTGGCTTGAGTTTAAGTATGATGGCCAATGATGAACAGCACTTCTGTGTAAAAGAGTGCTTGCCAGATAAATTCTGCTTTTAAGTTACTCTTGTTTTATTTTTGTATTTAAAAAATTAAGTCAGTATTACTATGTAACAAGAACTATAACCAAAAAAGTTTAAATGTTTACATAATTATGTAACACAAAACCTGAAGCAATTATTAATATACCCAAATATATGAATGTGCAACTCTACAACTATTCAACAAAATTATGTTTTTAACTTTGCTGTCTTAATAGACATGTGCCTATAAAACATTTACAGTTTCCTAGTTTTCTTTATCTGGCTCTTTCTTTTTGGCCTTGTAGACTGAATAGTTAAATTTTTTTTCTGTTTCTTCCACTTATGACATTTGCAAATAAAAGGTGGTGCATCTTCTTTATTGCTGTGTGGTCCTACTTCTGCATATACCCATTTTACTGAGGTACATTTTACACTTCTAGCAACGTTGTAGTAATTTACTGATAAACCAAGGACACTATTACTTAATCTCTACAAAAACTAGATTTGAGTACCTAGTATTTGTAAGGACAGATACAGTGAATCATCACAGGTGGAAAGAAAGAGGCAAGACTGGGTGCAGTTGAAGCAAAAAGAAACTTATTAAAGAAAATCAAAAGACAAGCAATAGTATAGTTAGAAAGGACTACTGTATTGTGATAAGATGAGATGAAAAGTCAAATGAACTATATTTAAAGATAACTAAACACAATTGGAAAAGGGTTTTGTATGTTTGTTGTTAAGCACAAAGCTACACAATGGGCTATCAAGAGTACAAAACCTAGTTTTTAGCTATACAAGCCTTTGTTACGTCTCCGTTTGTTAATTAACTTTCCGTAACTTTGTTCCGACAAAACTTTAGCGACACAAGTCCTTACTTAATAAAACTGGTTTATTCTTTCCGAATACAACTTTAAGATACACTTATTTTCAACAGTCGCTCTATAACAAACGCTATATCAACGAATGTCAACAATACTTCTGACTGCAATTCAATTACTCACTACCTACACACACATTACATTATTCCGT